AGATGCAGGATACCGGAATCAAATACTGTGACAATAGGGGTGAAGAAAATACAAAGAAACAAATATATATATATATATATATATATATATTTATACATGTATATATTATATATATACACACATACATATATATATATATATATAATGTACATTATCGGTACATTAAAAAGAACAACAAGAAAGATAATATCTCTTGTGTCCCTATCTTGGGGTTCATTTCACTTAGCATCAGGTTATATGGTCAAATGCATGTAGCTTTTGACCTCTTCTTCTTGTCCTAGACATATACTAGTTTTTGTAGATAAGGGAAACCATGGGACCTATATTTCTTTGAGTCTGGCTTACTTCACTTAATATATTTTTTTCCAAGGATTTCCATTTCCTACCAAATGGAGCGATGCCATTCTTTCTGATGGAGGCATAGAATTCCATTTATCTACTTAGGGGCATCTGGGTAGGTTCCATATCTTAGCTATGGTGAATAATGCTGCCATCAACATACAAAACAACATTGAGATTCCACCCCTCCCCAGTTAGAATGACTATAATCAAGAACTCTAATAACAACAGATGCTGGAGGGGATCTGGCCAGAAGGGAACCCTCCTGCATTGTTGGTGGGAGTGTAAATTTATTCAACCACTTTGGAAAGTAGTATGGAGGTTTCTCAAAAGACACCACATAGAGCTGCTCTATGACCCAGCAATCCCAATTTTAGGCATTTACCTAAGTGATCACAAACAAGACCATACTAAAACTACCAGCACAACTTTGTTTATCACAGCATTAGTCAGTATTTTCTTTAACTATATATTTTGGGGGCTGGGGTCTTTTCTTTTGTGGTTCTGAGGATGGAACCCAGGATGTTTCACTTAGCCACGTGCTTTGCCACTGAGCTACATGTATTCCAGCCCAACGGTAGCTATTTTCAAGCCTTCGCTGAGCTTCCTTCAATTTGGCCACAACTACTACATAGCAGCCAGGAAATCCAAACTTTTCACCATATTAAGTCTCTCATTCATAAACAAAATCAGGCAGAAGGTAATTAAAAAAAAAAAAAGTTGTTCAAGGCAGAAGTGATGGTGTATTACTGGAACGCCAGAACAAGATGCTGAAACAGGATCACAAGTTTGAGGTTAGCCTGGGCTACACAGAAGACCTCTTGTTTTGTTATGTTTTGTTAAAGTGATCGGAACTACCAACATACCCAGAAATTCTTCCTTCCCATGTTGTTCTTTCTAAGATTCTTTCTAAGCTCCTTCACTCTATCAGTGCACTTTTCCATGAAAACAAATATGTTTATGCTTTCATATGTCATAAAGATTGGCTCTATTAACACTAAGAAGTTTTCAAGAAATGATACCTATCTTCCTATCATTGTATAAGTTTTCACATAAGAATTCAAAACACAATATAAGTGATTTATAATTATTTTGTAACTTTATTAAAAAATAAAACAGTAGCATATTTTTACTTGACTAGTAATAGTAAAACATTTCCAGAGAATTTTATGATCCAAGGTGATGAAGATCTAATTGATGTAAGTAGATTCCTATATTACATTATATTGTTTATTTTAACAGCATGCCTTTTCTTTCATCAATTTAATAAGTAATTATCTGTTTAATCACTTCTAATGGTTTCAGTATGACAAATCTTATATACATCATAAGGACTTACTGATAAGGAATTCAATTGAATATACTTGAAGATCTTAAATAGATTCCATTGAATCTTTCATTATGACTGATTTAATTCTTGAGAATTGGTAAGAGGAAAAAAAATGTGCTGACTTAAAACTCTGATGTAGATTCCTAAATGTCTCTTTTGAACACATGATATTACCACTCAGTAAGTAAAAATCATATGTAAAATTTAACAATAGCAAGCACTAACTTAAAGAAAAATATTAAATCATTGTTTGTATTAAATTTCTTTGTGTAATTCAAGGACTAAAAGGAAGAGAATTAAAATTAGTAACTTAAAGGAGAATTTGAGTTCAGAAAGCTAAGATACGAGTATGTTTTCAATAGGATTTCTCTCTTTGCTTTGATGATGATCTGCTTGTTGATGCAGTAACTGCTTTCTAACAGAATTTTTCTGTAAAAACCAATAGATCAATTGGAAAATGATAAACATTTTTTCTTTTTCTTTTGGTTTAAATTTGCCTTTCTAAAATACTATTGCAGTATTATTTCATCATTGAAAGCAGAGAATATCTACATCGGAAAAACACCTAGCACTTCTGATTTGTCTCTTGAAACAGAGCTAGTCATTTATTTTCACTTGAAAATTTGTGTTGGGTTCAGACATTTATTACTGTGTATTTTATTCCTAAGGCAAAGTTACTCACCTGTTGGAAATCAAATAAATGCCAACCCTTTCTTTTCAAGGCCTGACTGGAACTATTTAGTGACTATCTTACTAGTGTTTAGCCAAACTGAGAAAATTGTATCTAATCTGCTATTCCCTGTTGTTTCTGAGGTTTTGTGTAAAAAGAAAACAGTGCTAATAGAATAAACACCATGTTTAAGTATTTGTGGTTTCTACTATTTATCTCATGCCAAGCTATAAAACTAGTTTAAAGAAGAGAGCAATGTCTTGCCTGGGATTTTTTCTTCTCCAAATTAAGACATGTTTGCATTTGGTACATGGAAAATATCGGTGAGTCAAAGTTAAGATAAATTTCAGAGCCAAAGATAAATTGTTATATGGTGTTTATGTCAATATTCAGAAGGAGATGTAACTTTGAGCAGAATTCTCCTTCCCCATTCATGCTGCATCATCGTAGCATTTGGCCTGGTGAGTGGAGCAGAAATTCTAAACAGTTGGCTTCAAGTTATATTAAATGTGTAATTGATTGATTGATTGATTATGGCACACTCCAGCCTTCATATTGCAGTGTAACTGCTATTTTCCTCAATAAGTCCTTGTAGACCTCATTTCACAATCAGTTTGTACCTCTCAAGATAGTTGAGAAGTTGGGTTGAAAGGCATGGTGCACAGCTTTTCAGCTGCTGTTTACAACCCATGTACACAAACTCCATTGGAGAGGTTTATAACCCTATTCTCTTTAGTTAGCACTTTTCCCAAATATTTCTCCCTGGTCCAGTACATTCATTATTATATGCAATGCATGGACTGTTATTATCATTCAATTAAGGAACCCTTGCTCCCCTATGGTCCACATCCTAATAAAAAAATGACCAAAATAATGTTGGCCATAAGCTCTGCCAAATAGACCATTAGCTGTTAATTTGATTCAGTTTAAACCTCTACTTAAGTAAATGGCTGGTTCTAACAAAACACAATAATAACATAGTATTTAGGTTCTTTGCTACCTTTATTCATGCAGACTATTTCTTTTGCCTCCACTATTATTATACTGACATAGATATTGACCGACTTTCAACATTAAATAACAAGAAATCTTGTAAAACAATAGGAAAAAATATACAAAACATGAAATTCTTGGTAGTTTAGTTACCTATCATGGGGACTATTACCAGGCACTGGTGTATTATGCTCCTTAGTCAGGAATTTGAAATCTGGAAGATGATGGTACAAGCCAACCTGGGCAGAAAAGTCTGCATGGACTCATCTCTCATTAACTAGCAAAACACTGGATTGGAGATGTGGCTAAGTATTGTAGTATCAGATGTGAGCAAACAAATTCAGGGCGGGTTTGAGGTCCTGTGTTCAATCTCAGGAACTAGCACATGGAATGAGAGGGGTGGGGTGGTGGTTAAGTTATAGGAGAAAATTAGGGAAAAAAAAACAATGGCAATTTTATCACTTAATATAAGAAATATTACAATTAAAATTTATATAATAGATTCTCATTTCCCTATTTTTGAATTGATAGAGAAATTATGACTAAAGGAAGATAAAATAGGCCATCCATAAATGAGCTATGTAGGATCTCAGGACTCAAGATTGGTTTTTCCTTCAAAATAGTGACATTGTCATTTCATAGTTCCTGAACCATGATTTTACTGTATGGTTATGAATACTGTGGCCTTATGATGTGTTTCTTGTGGTGAGCATTTATAGGGAAGAGGCCTGCCCCATGTTTCTGTGGCTCCTTGTTCAAAGGCAATAATATGGGTTGTGAGCCCTGGTCTAAAGAAGAGAATAGACTGCAAGTATTGTGTCTGGAAGCAAATTTTGGGAAACAATAATGATGATGCAGCTCATGTAAGCTCAAGGCAGCTCCTTTATGTGTTATCTTTGCAATGAGAAAAATTGAATTTCCTTTAGAATATTTGGATTTTTAAATCTAAAAATTGAAAGTAGTTTAATAACTGTACACATTGAGATATATATTCATAAATTTAAGTTTACATTCTATTTATAAATATGAATCATATATTTATTGTTTTCCTTCCTCCATTTATTCCTCCCTCCCTCCTCCCTCCCTTCCCCCTCCCTACCTCCCTCCTTCTCTCCTTCTCTCCCTCCCTCCCTTCCTTCCTTCTTTCATTCCTTCCTTCCTTCTTTCCCTCCCTCCCTTTGTTCTACCATCCTATCTTCCCTCTACCATTCTCTCTTCAGCTTCACTCTACCTTACCTCCCCATCCATCTTCCTTTTTCTTCACTTTCTCCTCTTCTTTTCTTCCTATTTTCTTCCCTTCTATCCACTGTCCCACTTTCTTTCCTTTCCTTCCTTCTTTATTTCCTTCCTTCCTTCCTTCTTTCTTTCTTTCTTTCTTTCTTTCTTTCTTTCTTTCTTTCTTTCTTTCTTTCTTTCTTTCTTTCTTTCTTTCTTTCTCTCTTTCTCTCTCTCTCTCTTTCTTTCTTTCTTTCTTCCTCTTTTTCTCTTTCTTCTTTTCTTTCACATAGAACCTCTGCCTGTATCCCCAGGATAGCTTTAAGAATACAACCAACCTGCCTCAGCCTCAAATTGATGGGATGAACAGAATGCCACACCATTTCAGGAACAGAATTTTCTATTTCAATCAACAACATGAAGAAGGCTAATGTTCTTTTTAAACATGTTCGTGTACTTATTTCAGAAGCACATGCACTAAAATTGAAATGTTACAGAGGAGATCAGCTTGGCCTTTCTGTAAATATGACATACATTTTTTGTGAACCATTCCATATAAAAATAAATAGAATGACTAAAATACAGCATGTCAAGTACTAATTATTCAACATATGATGCTACATAATTATTTATAATATAGCTTATATGGGATTTCCACTTTTAAAAGGAAAATGAGGGGACCATATTAGTAAGTTATGACACAATTTTTTTAAGCAAAGGACCATCTATATTTTGTTCATCAATGGTGTCTTCCTTTATATCATATTTTAATTTCAAGGATTTATAAACTTCTCACACCTTGAATTCCTCATGATTCCTTCAATCACATCATCTTAATTTCATCATTTCTGCCATAAATGTTTTTTATTTATAATTTCAAAAATATTGTTATGGAAGTGGTACTGTGACTTAAAGTGGAAGAGTGTTAGCCTTGAGCAATAAAGCTCAGGAACAGCATCCTGGCCCAGAGTTCAAGCCTCACAACCACTGAAAAACAAAACGACAAAAAAAAATCATTACTCTTAGACATATTAAGACCCAAACTATGAGTTTTCCTTTTCTTCTCCAACTTAACATCTGGTGTCTCTGTCTTTTTTCCCCCATTCCTCCCTCTCTCCTATTTGCTTTTCTCTCTTTCAATATTGAAAATGCTTTTAAAAGCTGAAAACTTTTATGAATACAAAGCATTATTCAGAATTTTGTGTTCCAATTTGACTTATAATTGTTGTCTCAACTAACTTGTATTATTTAATACCATAGGGACATTTATATTTCTCTTTCCTCCTGAAGATAATAATTAAATAATTCCTAGTTGTCATTTCAAGAGTAAATGGGAAAAACAATCCAAGATGAAAAACTGAAGTTATTAAAATTAGCACACCTTAAGTGTGAAGCTGAGAAATAATTATTAAGAACATCTATTTATCAAATATTATGATAAATGAACTCTTCTTTGGAAACTAAACTAGTTTAGAAAACATTAAAACTCTTAAAAATGATTTTGTTATGTCATGAGCCTCCCAGAGCCATCCAACTTGTATACTAATTATTTTTTCTTGGCTGCACGCTGCTTTAATTACATTCATTATTTCTGTCATTCTGCAAATTCTTATGCATGTGTGTGTTGGTGGCCTGGTGTGTAACCATGGCTTTTTCCCTGCTGTGCTAATGGCTGAGGTCCAAGTGGAGGTGGATATGAAGTGAGTTTAGAAGGTTAAATTTGGCCCCCAGTTAATTTGCTTCACAAACCTACTACGTATTTGTGTGTGTGTGTGTGTGTGTGTGTGTGTGTGTGTGTGTGTGTGTGTGTGTGTGTGATAAGCTGACTCAATTACAAATCTATGACCATAAGGAATCGGAAAGTTAGACTGAAATTTGTTAACTCTAATCCTTACTGATTGTCAATGATGTTGTCAGCAGGAAGTTTAAAGTAAAGCCAGAGAGAAAAAATTTAGATATATTGTGGATCTTCTTAGAAATTAAATGATTTTTTAGCAATGTGATATGAAAGCTTAGAAGGAAATGTGCACTAAAATTAACAATGTCTGCAAAATTTTTGTTAAGTTTTCAAATGAGGAAATTTTAGTCACTGCTCGTTTCCAACTATTGACCTTTCCATGTTTCTACTTCCTTTAATTGTAGGCAAGATAGAATATAAGTAGTTCCCATTGTTAAAAATACTTAAAATGGGGGGCTGGGAAGGTGGCTCAGTGGTAGAGCGCTTGCCTTGCATGCCTAAGGCCCTGGGTTCGATTCCTCAGCACCACATAAGCAAAAAGAAAAAAAGCCAGAAGTGGCGCTGTGGCTCAAGAGGTAGAATGCTAGTCTTGAGCTGAAGAGCTGAGGGACAGCGCCCAGGCCCAGAGTTCAGGCCCCACGACCAGACCCCGCCAAAAAAAATTTTAAAAAAATTAAAATGGTGGCGCTTTTCTCAATATATAACTCTGTCCTTGCTGTGCATCAGGAGTCCTTTGCTTCCTTCTAGTTCCTATAAAATTTATATATCTGGTCACAAATATTTCATATTAATTAGCATTCCCGGAAAAGTGATTCAATTTAATTACAAATAAAGCACTAAATGAACCAATAAAATTTTTACTATTCCTATTATTTGTAGGTTATGCAGGTATTTTTCCTATTTATTAAATATTAAAATATTTGTTCTTTTACAATTGGACTATTAGCATGAACAGAAAATAGACTGTTCTGGTTAGAAGCAAGCAATAAAATGTCATATATTATGGAATCCATAATAACTGAGATTTTTGTAACATTTATTTCATAAAGTCTTCTATACGTTGTTTATTTTCAAAGAATAAATGCTAATTATCACCTTTGTTTTCCCAGATTTAACTTTCACAAACAGGGAATCAAACAAATATTAATCATTTAAGACTCTTGCAAGCCGGGCGCCAGTGGCACACATCTGTAATCCTAGCTACTCAGGAGGCTGAGATGTGAGGATAGCGGTTCAAAGCCAGCCCGGGCAGGAAAGTCCGTAAGACTCTTATCTTCAATAAACCTAGAAAACCGGAAGTGTTGCTGACTCAAGCGGTTGAGTGCTAGCTGAAGAGCTGAAGAGCACAGGGACAGCACCCAGGCCCAGAGTTCAAGTCCCACGACCAACAGAAAAAATAAATAAATAAATAAAAGACTTGCAATTTTGTTGCAAGGTGTTTCTATATAAATAAATAAATATATATATATAATTTTGCCTCATGTGACTACAACAAATTTGAACTAGTTTGAAACAATCCTCAAAATAATGAAATGGCTTTAAACAAATTATTAAAATTCCATATCAGATAATTTAGATTGGCAAATTGAAGCAGGTAGCTTATCAAGAAAATCTGAATAAAAATTCCATATAATAAAATATCTCTAGAGGAATCTTTAGAACTCTGTCCTCAGAAGAACAAAGGAGCATAATCTATTCCTTCTATTTTTTTTTTTTTTGTGTGTGTGTGTGGGGGGGGGGAAGAAGGACAGTACCACGACTTGAACTTAGGGCCTCACACAATTTCTTAGCTTTTTCATTGGTGATCGGTATGCTACCACTTGAGCCATGTCTCCACTTTTGGGTTTTTGCCTGCTAATTCAAGATAAGAATCTGGAGGATTTGTCTCCCTGGACTGGCTTCCAACTAAAATTCTTAGATTTCAGTCTCCAGTGTAGTTAGGATTATATTTGTTAGCCACTGGAACTATTCACTCCTTTGAGAACTCTCAAGAAACTGTTGTCTTGGTGAATTACTTGTAACAATTGTAGGGCTATATCCTCGATTGGAATGAGAACTGCAATTATGACAGCAGCCACCAGCTAGGGCTGACTTCACAAATTGTTTTAGCTATAGCGGATTAAACATCATAAAGTGCTGTCTTAACATTTGGAGAACTCCTAAAGACATCTATAGAAAATTATCCAGGCACCGGTAGCTCACTCCTGTAATCCTAGCTACTCAGGAGGCTGAGATCTGAGGGTCACAGTTCAAAGCCAGCCAGGGAAAGAAAGTCCGTAAAACTCTTATCTCCAATAAACACTCAGAACACCGGAAGTGGCCCTGTAGCTCAAGTGGTAGAGCTCTCGCCTTGAGCTGAAAAGCTGCAGGACAGTGCTCAGGCCCAGAGTTCAAGCCTCACAACTGACAAAAAAAAAAAAAAAGAAATCTATAGAAGATGAATACTAAGCAATTTTATCCTTAAATCCACCAGAGTTTGGTAGCATACATCATGTAAATAACAACATAGGCCATACTTCTTTTTCCTTCTCTTTAATTACAGTTATTTGTTGCTTAATATAACCCTAATTTTCTCTAAGGCTGTGATGAATTTAACTCACCATAATTTCCATTAGGGGAGCCTCTTCCTTGAATCTAAAATGCTTTGATGCATCCAATAAACTTGATTTTAAAAGCTCTTTATACTTCTATTCAATCTTTGATATTTATCTAGTAAAAGAGACCTATAATGTGTATTAATAAACTTCAGAAAAACTTACATTTAGTCCTTTGAATGTCTTTGTTTTTCTCTAGCTTGTCCTGTTTCATTTTGCAGGAAAAAGTAATATGTTATTATATTTAAGTAGTCATGCAAAGGAGTTGACATTTCACAAAGCGTTTTATGAATACAATACATCTTGATCAATGTCACCCCTTTCAACATTTTCCACCCCTACCCACTCCTTCCTTTACTCTTTTTAATTTTCTAGGATATACATTGCATTCTCTTCCTCTTCTCCTTCATTCTTCTTCTCCTTGCCCTCACCCCCTCCATTTCAGGGAATAAATAAATAACAAACAACAAAATAAATGCCACTTCCTGGTATTTAGTTTGTTGAACTTTGACTTTGTTGTTCTAAGGAATTACACGATTTGAGTTCTCCCTTGAATCTACCATATTTCAGTTAATACATATGTATATGCTTTCATACCACCTAACCTTTTTACTTATAGCTACATCTACCTTCTATCTATAAAGGAAAACATGGATGCTTTGTCTCTCTGGGTCTGACTTGCTTCAGTTAACATGATATTTTATTATTTCTAAAGAAAAGGAAAGACCTGGAAGAATATATATTTGCATATATACATATATATAATTCTTAAGCAGAAAAATGTAGTAGTGTGATGGTACTCTTAGGGAATATATATGTATATATGTATATATATATATATATATATATATATATATATATATATATATATATATATATATCAATATTGCCCAAGAACAAAATTGTAACTTGATTGTTTTGGAGGTGGACTCTACCTCTGTTGTCTTTCATGCTGTACCTATAGAGAAAGTCTGTGTTATAGCTTTCTCTAACTGAAGACTACCCCATTATAAACTATAGAAGGTCACCTATAATTTCTGAATTCTGAAATATTATTTTCTCTTATAGAGGTTAAAATCCGTAAAATATATTGAATTTATTTTAGAGGGTGGGAAGGAGTTAATGGAGAATGATGCAGGGAATGGATAAAGTTTGATAAGGATACACAGGGATATATCATATGCATGTATGTGGTATGTGAATAGCCCCTTGTACAACTAATGAAATCT